AAGTCTCGTGCACTGTGCCGCTAAAGTACACTTTGCGGCAGTTTGAAGGAAGCTTCTCTGGCCTCGGGGTCCGAGTAAGGCCACAGTGTGCAGTACGCTCCTGGGTCTGAGAGCTTCACACCGAAGAGGCAGCAAGAGGAGAGTCTGATACCGCCGACCGGGCATAGCACTTCATCGGCTCACTGTGCTAAGGGCCCAGCCGACTGGAAGCAGTGCGGGGAAGCTGGTCTTGACTACTCGACATGCAACTGGGGCAGCCACCTCGCACAAGGCGCACTTTGCCAAGGACAGGCATGCAAGCGCAAGGTCAAGCCCACCAGCCATTGACCAGGCCCATGTTTCACACTTCATCAGGCGGAAGTGCATGAATCAGGGCATCACGATGCATCAGGCAAAGCTGCACCTTGACACACGGCAGCTCGTCTACTGCCTCGCCAGCTTCTCGGGCATGCTCACCTTCGGATTCTCGTGGAGCGACCAGAAAGCAACAATGCTGTTACTATTACGCGCAAGCTTGCAGAATACGTGTAGCCAGGGTCGGTCGATAGCCAGTTGAGCCGAGCCCCGTGCGACTGTACAAGTTGAAGCGATGAGCATAGGAGCCTGCGCTTTTGGCATCCTCGCACAAGGCAGGTGTCAAGACTTCCTCGTGCACTCTGCCAAAGTTCATCCGTTGACCTAAATGCACAAGCCGCCGACAATCACATCCACGCAAATGATCGCTGCTCTCTCTCGTGGTCACAGCAGTTTCTCGGCTCGGGAACCGATGGACGAGCCTCCAAGTCCCATTTCACGGCATCTTCGCTTCTCTCCTCTGCACGCGTTGCCATCTGCAGCACGTATGCCTCGCGCACATATGCGCAAATCAGACCTTCCCAAACGGCAAGAAGCTTGTGACTTCTGATGCGGCCTTGTCCGGGGCGAAGGCCTGCGTCAAATGCGACAAAACCGAGAAAAAGTCAAGCTGACGACTCGACCCGGACAAGCTGTGCTGCTGTGAAGCACCACCGTTGTCCTTAATCCATCTGAGGCCCCAGCGATGGAGGCTCTCCAGGATCTCTTGGATGCCTGTAGCAATGCTCCGTGTGCGACATTCCGTGCTCTGCAGCCAAAGCTTCTCGCATGGACCTGGAACCGGTAGTCATCTGGCCAGGTGGCTCGGACAGCTTCACTGTACCTGAAGTCTAGCAGTCTAGCAAGATCAATCAGTATCAATCTCCCCGCAAGCTCGTAACAGCAAGGATTGAAAGTTGGCTGCCAACGCCTCAAACTCAGTGCTTCGAAACCAGACTCGGTCGACAGCTTGTTCACCTGTTGGGTGATTGTCCCACAAGCCCATAAGTCTTGCTTCGCTGAAAGAAGCAAGCGTACTGATGTCTCCCTATTTCCTCTTACTTTCGCAGATCCAGCCCTCTTGCAGCCTGAAGCTGCTGGGCCTCTTTGAAGCCGCTCGGCCTGGGAAGATGCAGGAGTCTCTGCAACTGACGACTACTGAAGGGTTTAGGCATCTGCTCTCCCCAACTCCCCAACCTGACCCCGCGAGAATCATCTGCCGCAGTGCTCACGACTTCCAGGATCAGCTCCTCGCCACGTCTCTGCTCGCAATGCAACAGTATGCTTCAAGATTGAAAACGAAAACAGTCATCAATTGTGGATTGGGTACGGCAGGACGCACTAGAACAGTGTCTAGCTGCCATCATTGCAAGGAGGGCACCAACCAGTGCACACTTAGCTCTCAGGCTTGGGCAGCACAAGGTCAAGACGATCAGCCGGTTCCAACACGCAGGTGTGAACACAGTTTAGTCAGGTGACCTCCGCGTCTCCGTCAGCGATGCCGGAAAAGAGTGCTCCTCGCAACGAAACTCTGATGGTTGATTGTCTCAGGGCTTTCAGCACAAAGAAGATGTGACGCGACAACACAGACATCTCGCCTATAGCTGCGGCGTGCTCGATGCGAACACCACATGTTGCCCTTAGCTTAGAGGCTGCAAAGGCTGACACGCCGCGCTGAGACGGGAGACCAGCAAAAGAATCAATTTTGTTGACGCAAAGACATGGCGAAGGGGAACGCATCGAGTCTGCTTCGAAACATCCTTGCAAACTTACAGCTCTGGGATTAGGCCATTCGGCCGCCAGCTGAGGGCAAAACAGTGCTGCACCCATCGAGCTGCTGTACTATCTGAGACTACAGGCTGCACTCTACGTGCTCACGTCGGGTTTTGAAACACAGAGACCTGCAGAGCCTCAGCTTCGGGATCTACTTGGGATTTCGGGTTGCAAGTAAGGGTTTGGCATTTTGGGTTGAGTTTGGTGCTTCCTTGGCCTTTCTGTCTTCGCAAGCAAAAGGGCGTGTGGCTTGATCGGCGATCGGAACACAAGCTTTCGCGCACATGCGAGCCTCCGAACGCGTAGCAAACAGATCTGGACATGGCATTCCACTCTTGCAGAGGCAGCTCTGCCCCCTTGCTGTGCAGCCTGGTTTTGCTCGTATCCAATGCTTTCATGTGGGGTCCCCGGAGTTTGGATCGTCCCTGCCATGAGGCTGTACATAGGAGCTGAGAAGGCATGTCGCCAGCCAATGGACAGATCATGCAGAGGAGAGAGATGCAGAAATGGGTTCACTCAATGCTGCCATGCTGTCCATGCTCCAGTGGCTCTGTCCTGCCTCCCCAGCTCCACGACCGAGGTAATGGCCGATTTCTAAGGTGCTGTTCTGTGGTGACACCGGCCAAGTCGGGTTCAGTTTTGAAGAGGTGTTGCTGCTCTGTGGAAGGTCCTTCTGTGATGCAGTGCCCTCTCGTAACTGCCCCCAACCAGCCGCACAAAGTTGCAGGCAGCGCTGCCCGACTCTTTACCTGGCAGCACAGAGAGGAAAAAAGACCGACACAGGCCCACAAATCAAAGCAGGACGAGGCAAATGCAGGCAAAGTCTGACGTCCGCAGATCCTAAATGCCAGGCGCACTCTTCCTTGACCACATCCGTGTATTTTGGCACCTTTGCCAATAGGTCATCCTTCGCAGGCAGTCCGGTTCTTCGGAAAACTTTATGGCTGTCATTGCGCGAGAGCATCTTGAGAGCAATTGCTTTTCGGTCCTTCATGGCAACAGCCTGCTTGATGTAGGGCCTGGAGCAATGCAGGCTACGTCGATCCACGCTGGCGTTTGAAAAGGCACAGCTAGCAAGAAGGATTTGCTGGGGAATCCACCCGACATACTGATGCAGCTCTGCATTCTTGGCCTTCCACACGTAAGGCGCCACCTGACACATAATCAGGACAATGTTGATGCGCGTGCCATCATCTTGCCTTGGTGAGTATTGCGAGTCAAAGCTGGGGCAAGCACGAACAGCACATTTCCTATCATCCAGACGAAGAAAAAGGCACCTGCCGTGAGAGCATCAACTCTGCGTTCAGTGACGACGGAACTGTTTCAAAGTCTTTGAAGAGTCTGGCTACTGTCATCTACTGTCACTCAGAAGCACGTCAGCTTGGCCAAAATAGGGCGAGACGAGTCCTGAAACGAACAGATTCTTCCTCCCTTCGTAGCCCTGTCGGTAGACTTGATGGATCCGCTTGCCGTGAGGCCGGAGCTCACGAGCTGCAGGACGAACACGGCCTCTGACGGAACAAGGAAGACGGCCACGGGCTCGGGGTTAGTGGCAGTGGTGCTGCAGCGATACAGGAGGACAAAAGTAAGGTCCTGACTGTAATGGTCATCTCCGAGCTAGTCCACAGGACAACGTCACGCACCTGCTGAAAAGGGCTTGGAACGCAAGAGCCAAGCTTGTTCGCAGGCCTTTTCTGAGATCACGTTCAGGAACTTCGAAATGGTCTCCACTGCGCTCTTGATGGCATCCTGCGCGGGTACGAGCCTCCCTTTCCATATCAGCCGGATCTGCATGAAGCTATTGACCGAAGCCGTGCATGTAGCTGGACACTGGCGTCTCCTGGGAGAGCAGGTCCACGTTCCGGTCAGCTGTCTGCGGTACTGCATACCTGGGGTCTAGCAGAGGCGGAAAAGTCTGGCATTCGAGCACCAGCTCGCCTGGTTGCACCACCAGCCAGTAGCACCACGGTGAAGATGTGGCACAGTGCTGGAACCAGCCTGGGCAACTGAGGGAAGGTGCTCTGCAAGCGAGCATGTCTTGACCTGAATCGTAACTACAAGTCAATTCGAACTACTCTGGCGGTGCACCTGCGAGCTGAGCCTACAGCACCTGAGGGATCTGCGACAAGTCCCAGTAGAACACTGCCAGGAAGAAAATGTTGAACATGCTGAACACCGCACCTTTTCAGCGGAAGCTGTGGGATTCAAGCATGGGTGCCGAGCATCCCCCTTAGCCTTCGGACCCGGAAGCCATGAACCAGCTCCAAAGGTCGAGCGTTCCCGACCAGCCCTCCCAAAGAGCAACATCCCGACAACCCTCGTCAACTCGCGCTTGATCAAGACTGCTGCTATTATAACAAGTTCTGAAGATTGACCGAAACACCCTAAGCCCTGCAAGACCAAAGGGGCCACCACCATGCAAGAACACGATAGCTACATCACAATTGATGCTCAGGCAACTCTGGCTCGTGTAAGGCTGTGATCGAAACAGGACGGCCGGAGATGCAACCTTTTGCATCTCGTCGCGACGACAATCCATCGGCGGAAGCCCGGACAGCTGTCTCACAAATTCACAAGACTGGGCCTTCAGATGGCCCGAACTGCCGGCAACACA